CTTGGGCTCCTGGGGTTTGCAGGGAAGTAGACTGATTCATCCCGCTTCCCGCTCCATCTCCAGGTTGGCCTGGGGACCACCTGGGAGTGGCCCAGGCACGGATCCACTCGCCAAACTTTGCTCTGGAAGCCCCCAGCCCCTCCACAGCCAAGTTTCTGGGATTGTGGTTGGGGATAAAAGGGTTTCTCGATTTCCCTGTGGAGATATCGCCACCACCGGAAGCAGGGCAGCTAAAAGGAAATCAGACACAAGGTTCTTAAAACTATTTAATGAGGAAATGTACAGGAATCCTCTTGGCCACTCCTAGCCGCCCCTCCCCCACGGCCTAGCCCCCCTCCCCAACCCTGGCCGCAGCCACAACACTCTGCTGACCCCTTGTGGCGGAGGTGAGCTGCGGCCTCTGACGGCCGGAGACGCCAACTGGCTCCTCCCAGGCTGGAGAAACTGGCTAGGCGTTCCGCTCCTCCCTCATCGCTTCCCGCCGGGGCCTGGTACCGCAGGGTGTGGAGGAGGGAGAGGAGACCACACAAAAACCTGAGAGAGGCACGGAGAGTTTGCAAGCATTTGCTGGCACCTCCCACACAAACACATCTTGGATTGTTGTTCTAAGGGGGGGTTGGCGTGGAATCCCTTATTCCTGCCTTGTTCTAAGGTGGGCTCAAGAAGGCATCGTGCCTGGTCCTGCCACCTGTCATAGTCGGCCTGGTTGGCGGAGGGAGGCGCCGTTTTGAGGGCAGTTACTATCCTTAGCTCACCCGAGGAGGTAGTATCCAGAGGCTCATTTTAGAGGTGAGTGGCCTCGGAAACTCAGAAAAATTAAGCAATTTGAGTTAGTAGGGAGTCTAAATTAGAGCTCAGATCTTTCTGTCATCACAGCCCCGCCTCTCCCGGACTGGGGCCGAGCCTCCAGGTCCTTCCAGCCCCAGAGGCCAATTCCACATTTACCACACCCTCTGCTGGGCCGGTTCTGGAAGGGCCTCTCTGCCCTGGGATCGTCCAGGAAGGAGACATTCTCGGGAATCAGCCACTTCCTCTCCTGAGGGGACCCTATGGGGTGGGGGTGGGGAGCTGCCACCTGCTGCTTTCCCTGCTCAACTCCACTCTAGTCCTAGTTGAGGACAGTGCGGGGGGGTGGGGGAGGCCGCCTTCTCACCTGAGTGGACATTCTCTTTCCAGTGTCAAGTGTGGAAGATGGAGTTTAAGGTTCTAAGAGGGCAAGGAAGACTCCTAAGAAATATTTCAGGTGCCAGACTCCTGGCTGCTCTAATGACCCTTAGTACAGATGCCCTGCACCTTTCTCAGGGATCCTACATTAGCCACTCTCTTCTGGGAATCCGGATTCATCCTCATAGCCCCTGGAACCCAAGCTCAATCCTGAAGGCCACACACCCCCTCCCCTCAATGCTCAAGCGAGGTCTGAAGCCCCTCCAACCCCCAGCTAAGGGCAAAATCAAGTGGGTGTGGGATGTGCCCCAGTCCACCTGGCGTCAGGACACTGCTTCCGTTTCAGTAAGGCCTGGCTCCTCCCCGACCCTTTCCTGGGAGCGGGGGACAGCGCGGTACCCTCTCTGGTCACCTGCCACCCCAACTCCACGAGGCGGACTACAAGCCCCATGATGCCGCGGGGCCGGGATATAACAAGCTCTGCCCAGGGTACCCGGGTCCCCCTCCTCTATCCTTTGCATCCTCACATCCCTCGCCGGCCGCTGAGGCTGAGGGCCGGGCTATGCGGCTGCGGGGAGCCGGGGGCTGCGGGCGCGCGTCCC